GTTCATTTAATCTTGTTGAAATGATTTTCCTCTTGTTTTTATTTATTTATATGACTTTAAAAAGGCAAGTAACCCAAAAGTAATCAGATCACATTGCTTTAATATAGCAGTCCTGTGGATTATGTTATTTTTTTGTGTTGTTGTTTTTTTCCTTAATTTTCACCCCAATTTTTTATCATGTACATTTCTACTCGCTAGCTAGGTCTCCAAAATCACATGATGCTACCAGCACTAAAAGAGTGAAGGCTAGCACATGCGTCCTTTGAGTCATATGAAACACTGATGCATCTGTGGATCCACTTACCCCCAGCACTGGGCTGAGTCTGTTCCTCACTCAAAGCATTCTGCAATCACTCTTCGCCAGCTTCACACCAGGTTTTCTGATTTTTGCTCTTTGCTCACGTCAGAAAAACCCCACTCTATGTCTGCTCCACATGGTTTAGTCTCATGATGTTTATTTTATGCCTTGGACATTTTGACAAGATACATTACATTTTATTTCTTGAATTATATATTTTATGGCTGTAATTAAATGAAAAACTAGTTAAACATTCTGAATTATGCAGGCTTTTTTGGAAGGAATAGGATTTAAACAATGACCCAATCCCAGGCTAGAAAAGTGCAGAGGGCAAACAAATGCACATGCTTTTAACATCTTCTTTATCATTCTTGAAGCAAAAGAGACGACATTAGACTGTGTGCAACACCTGCAATTGGTGCCATCATGTGCAAACTGTAGCAGTCACACTGCCGCATCACTTACGTCACATAGAGGTAGCCAGTGTGGACTAAAAGGACTGTCTGGCTCACAAGATGGAGCAGCGAGAGAAAACACTACTGCTCCAACTTTCTGAAAAGCCACTCCAAGCATCACTCTGCTCTCACTTCTCAGCCCTCACATATTCTGCATCCTACTCACCCAGAGAGGGTTCAGTCAATTATGCTCTTTTGGACTTCCAGCCATTGATGAATGTTGCATTGTGATGTACTTCAGTTATGATTGTTTTGGTAGTGTCAAAATGCAATGTTCAGTCATTTATGTTAATGACATAAATATAGTTAAGGTATAAGGTCACTCAAAGCAAAAAGATTTTAGTCTAAAGTTCAAATCAGTTAAAACTCTGACTCTGACTTTGAACCAGTTCAGTGAAATGTTCCATGCACAACCTTCTGATTAGCATGCGAATGCAGAATTACTCCCATTCAAAATTTCAGCAACCTTTTTGGCTCCTCCCTCTCTGCTATGTAAAGTTCACACTTCCTTTTTCAGCAGTTCTAGTGCATCATCTAGGCATTAGCAGTACTCTACATCACTGATTTTCCAGTGTGAACGCACAGTTTGCAGTAAAAGTGGCTCCTGCACTGCGGGAGATGCACGGTCCAAATGATATTTCAGCAGAGCCATGTGAACTCACACAAGACAGAAACCCACAGCTTGGGAAAATGGCTCATATTCTAAAGGCTGATGCTCTTTGTGTTGCGTATTCTATGCATGCCTTTGAGTGCTGGCCTGCTGTGCAGACCGTGTCTGGTAGGAAATACAAAATAAAATAACCCTTGGTGATATTATGTATTCTCTGTACTGTTGGCTTATTGCTTTGTCACTAAGTCAGTGAGTTAGACTTTGATGCAATGCATGCAACTCCGTGACAGACCTCATAAACAAGCTGCATTTCAGCTTTGTGTGGTAGCAGCACCACTGATCCAAGCAGTTAATTGTTGGAAAATCCGCTTCGGATGGCCTGGCCTACTTTCCTTAGAGTGCGGGGTGAAAAAGCGGCTCTCTCTAAGAGAGGTGAATAGACATATGCTATTCTAATGAGACGCAGTCCGACATTCTTGGCCTGTCGTAACTTCACTCAGTCGGGTCCGAACCCTCTCTTACTGCAGTAATTACTCTGGTGACACAGTGCAAATCATTAACCAACCATATGTCCCCTCGCTTGAAAGCGCCGCCTGTCCTCAGCGAACGCTCGGTCCTGCCAGCCACCTTTTCTTTAGGATTACCGAAGGGACTCATTCAGAATTACCAACAAAGCGCTTTTTAATTGGCCATATGCTGCGACGTCTCTCAGCTAAAACAGCGACAAGCCAGATTAGCCACTAATGAAGGCAGGTGATGGTGCGCCAACAGCATGTGGCCATGAACCTGCATGACGAATGCCACTAATGCTCCATTTTGGAGGGGAAAAAAACATCAACTGGACCAAAAAGAGAGACATATGCACCAAAATGAGCGCCTGAAATATATTAATCTCACATTCTCTCTGAAAGCTGTAATTAGAGGGATTGCTCAGAATCTGCATCCTCTCACTGAGCTTTATCCTACATTCTCCTCCATTTCTGTAGCATCCAGATTTCAGACATCTTCAGCACATCTTTATTAAGAAGCCAACCAAGTGTCAGATCACTACAGCCTTAAAAATAAAGGCTAGGCGTTTGGTGGTAGGAAAAACCTTGAATAGGTGTAGAAACTTTACTTTATGTGGCGATTCTTTAAAATTTAAAAAGGTTCTTCACACTCATTAATCTTTTTAAACACTATAAAAAATTCAGAGTGAGCTTGAAATTTTAAGACATTCCTTAGATGCTGAAATTGCTTGATAGACTTTTAAACACCCCCAACACCCCAGTGCTGGGGGCACTGTGTGATTTGGAGAGTCAAAGCCTGCGGCTGGAAACTGGCAATGGCTACATTTGAGGGAGGAACTGAGTCCAACATAGATTTTAAGAAATTTCAGCTAATATGGAGGCAACCCCGTTTTTTTGTTTGTTTGTTTGCTTGCTTCTTTGAGTGAAATCAACTTTAACTGGATTTTGCAGCTCTAACTCAGACACAGTACTAAAAATACAAGTCAGGAGAAGGTCTAAGTTGAAAAAATAAAAAAACGTTAGGCAGACAATTGACTGAAAATTTGCTGACATGACTTTTCATTTTTTACACTGAAGAACGTTTCATAAAAAGGTTCCTTAATTCAATTCAACTTTTATTTAAACTCAGAAATAGAGGTAAGAGAACCAAAAGTGGTTCTTCTATTGCATTTCACCAAAGCAATGGAACACCTGATCAGTCATTTGAAGACTCAGATTGATTAAACAAGTGGAATCAGACCAAGTTTGTCTGAAATTAAAAGGATAAGATTGGACATCCCTGTTCTTCTGCATTGCTTTGGTTGCATTGCATTATGTTTAAGAGTGCAGATTCCTCTTAACTTCGTGAGAGTGGGGCAGTAAGTGGTGCCAGTGTGCATGAACAAGCTCTTCAGGGCTCCGCAGCCCCTGCAGCTATGAGTGTTCTTATGTCAGTGACATTTTTGGGGGGAAAAACTCACTGGAAATATAAGGTAGGCCAAACTCTTAATTAGGCCGTGCTGATTAGTGCAGTGTGCCCTCCAGCGGTCTCTGATGGTAGTGCATCATGAACTGAAAGCACTAATCAGCAGTGTTTCTGTCTGCTTTCCTTTCTCTAGCAGTGTTTCAGTTCTGCACCTGCCCTGTGCTGCTCTCCTGCCCCAACACTCCTGATTCAGCTCAGGATTTGAAGGATCATTAGCTGACGAGGGGAAAATACAAAACTGTTTGCTTGTCAAAACTGCTAGTGGGCTGGATGTGGACAGTGCTGATGGAAAAAAGAAATACCCCCCAAAAAACCTGGGAAATCACTAAACCTTCAAAACCCTCAAACCTCAACCAACCCCACCCTCACCCCCCAAAAATAACTCAAAAACCTCCCTCCAAACACCAAAACCCAGTGTTGATGTGAAGCAATGGCAGAAATATTAATAAACGCGTCCCTAAATAGTTTAAAAAACAGAAAATAACCCCCCAAAATATCCCTAGAAACTACAAACTACTAAAATCTACCCCCTCAAAAAACCTCACCCCTCCACAAATTCCTAAAAAGCTGTTGTATGTGCTCAGTTCAATTATGCCACACATTTCCATTCAACCAAACAGATCAGAGTCAGGAGTGGAATTCATTCCACTCACTTAAATGTACTTTAAAAACTGCTGTCTGCTCTGTGTAACCCAGTTACTTCAAGACATCACTGTTCATTTATCTAATGTCGACACAGGGCCAGATTAAGATCCTGTGGTGGCCCTGGCCTTTCCAGCTGTAGTGCCCTCTCCCCACGAGCCCACTCTTAATAACATTAATAACTGTTTGCTGAAAAGCTCTTGGTTTTGCTGACGACTTGCTCTCTCTCTTCTTTACAAGACATATAAACTGAACCAGAGTTAACTCCTCAGCCGAGACCTTGTCGGTATCAGCCAGGGATGCCAACAAAATGGTGAGCAGATCTTTATAAGACACCAAACTGATTCTAGGTTTTATCCACACAGACTCCACTCCCCACCAAATCTACACAGTAATGATGCTGTTTGGATATTTATGGCTGGATTATCAGGCTGACTGTGATGTGTGAATAGATTTAATGTAAACCAAAAGACTGAAATCATTAAAAGCTGTGCACTGTTGAGCAACTTTTTGGTCACCCAGGTCACCTAAGCTGGTAGGTCCAGCTATGCATCGACATATTTTCAGTTTTTAGGTCCAACAATCCTGTTACTTCGCTTTTGGAGCGCAGTACTGATGCAAAACAAGCAACCCTTCAAAACCCACCCTGCTGAAAAAGGACCACTGGGAACAATTCATATTAAAACCTAATGTGTTTTGCGTTCAAATGTGGATGGTTTCCACTAGTTTCCTGTAGAAAACCTTCAAGGAAATCATCAAGTGCGTATAGAATCAGCCTTTGGTCGCCTGTTAAACCGTTAGGATCCTTTACACCGTGATACGAGTCCATTAAAACAGCCGAAACTCATTATAAAACCATCAGAAACGAACAGAAACACTGAATAGTTTCTATGGGTTTTTTCAGCGGGGCAGCGATAACTCAACTAAACTACAAAAACGACCCTCAAACGTTCTAATTACTCCCCACCCAGTCAGCAAGACCCCAACCCCGAGACCCCCCGACTCTGTCCCGGAGACTTACGGTAGAAGACGTACTCTGTGTTGCTGCTCCACGCGCCCCTCTCCGCGTCCGCGTGCCTGCTGGCCACCGCCGTGCTGCACGCGACGATGCGGAACCCGCTCTCGGCGAGCATGTCGAAGGCGCGCTCCGCGTGCCGGAAGCGCAGGTGGCAGCGCGAGGTGTAGCGCTCGCGCGCCCGGTCCGCGTCGCGGCTCTCGCTGAGCGCGTCACCGAACACCTGGCGCGCGAGCCCGACCCTGCCGCACACCGAGATGCGCGGCGGCGGCGCGTCCCCTCCGCGCGCGCCCTTGCACGCCACCGTCAGGAAGCCGCACGTGCCCTCGCGCGCCGTCCTTTCGCTGGACGGAGACGCGTCGTCCGGTACGCCGCCGCCGCCGCCTTCGCCCGCCTCGTCCTCCGCCGCCGCGACGATCCCCGCCAGCTCGTGCAGGCGGAAGAACTCAGCCTCGCGGCGGAGCCTCGCGCGCTCCGGGAAGCGCTCGGGCAGCACCACGCGCCGGTCGCGCAGGTAGTCCAGCACGTAGCGGAACAAGAAGCCGTCCCGGTCGATGAAGCAGCGGCCGCGCGCGTCCCGCGCCACCTCGCCTGTCGCGTGGGAGAACATCTGGCCCAGCAGAGAGTCCGGAAAGGCCGTGAGGGTCGCGCGCCGCGTGTAGTACACCTGGCCGCCCACGTTCAGCTCGATGACCTCCTGAGTGCCGTGAGCGGAGCCGCCGCCGTCTTTAGGAGACTGATAGAGCCGGCAGGTCTCGGTCAGAGCCATGGTGACAAAGTTCGGACAAGTTCAGAGCCTATGGGAGCTGGATCTTCATCACTGGTCTTCCTCAGCTTCACCACTGACCTGCTTCCTCAGCACTGACCTTCATCATCTTCATGAGCAATCTTCATCACCTTCACCACCTGATCTTCTGATCTTCATCAGCTTCAACACTGAGCTTTGTCCGATTCACCTCTTTCACCACTGATCATCTTCATCACCTTTAGGACTGATCTTCCTCATCCTCAGCTCCACTGATCTGCAACACCTTTACAGCTGTTCTTCATCACGTTTACCACTGACCATCACCTTTAACGCTGACCATCCGTCACCTGATCTTCTGATCTTCACCACTATTCACAACTAATCTTCATCACATTCACCACTGATCATCTTCATCTCCCTTAGGACGGGTCTTCTGATCTTCATCAGCCTTACGACTGATTATCACATTTGGCACTGACCTTCATCATCACATTTAGCTCTGAGCATGTGCATCACATTTAGGGCAGATCTTCATCATCTTCATAGCATCACCTTTGATTGCCACCATTCTCACAATTGATCTTCATCACCTTTAAGACCGTTCCTTATCATCTTCACTCCTGATCTTCTTCATCACCTTTGCTGCTTATCTTTTTTTACCTTCATCACTGCTGCCGCTGATCTGCATCACTTCCACCACCTGATCCTCCTGGTCTTCAGGCTGATTGGCATTCGCATGAGTTTTTAAAGTCCTTCAGACATCATAGATAGTCCTCCCAACATCAGACCCCTGCAGTCAGATTGTTGCGTCCTTCTGTAGCACTTTTTCAGAAGATCTACATTCTGAGAAAGAGAGAATCAGAAACGCTCACCTCTCCGAGGAAGATCATTTCCATTCAACTGTTCTGTTTACCCAAAACAATTCTCCAAAGGATGCTCCCACTGATTGTGCACCGGCCAACTTCTCTCCAGATGGTTCCTTTCAGCTTGTGGGCAGTTTGGAACGTGGTTTTATCCAGGAGTGTCACATCCATAAAGGTTCTGTGCACAGCTCACCTCAGCGATGTCTAATCCGGCACATCTGTGCGATCCTGCCGCTCGTGTGGACTGAGGGTGGAGCGGAGAGTCTTAAAGCGTGCGGCGCGCACTGAGAGGGGTGGAATGATGCTGCTCCAGTGTGTGTGTGTGTGTGTGTGTGTGGAGGAGGGGGCGCATTCTTAGGCAGTTGAGCCTTACATCATCTTAAAGGAAAATGACAGTGTTGGGAAACAGCACACATGCTTGCATTAGATTACAATGAATCACTCAGTGATGGAGGCCGTGGCTCAGTTTGAGCGGAAGTGCATGACTGTTTTAATTTGATTAGGGAAGTAGACTTTATTGATTGCCTGTTTTATAAGTCTTGAAGTCTGCGCTCTTGAAAAAAGAGTAGAAGTGGAAGAACCACTTTTGGTTCCCTAAGGAACCTTTCCTTTCAGTGGATAGTTCTTTAAACAGATATTGCTGTAAATGAGAAGTGTGAAGGTCATTTTCAAAGTTTAAAGAACCTCCACATGATGTGAAGGTTCTACACCGCTGAATGTCCGTAAACCACTCAGGAACCTATATTTTTAAGGGAGTCCACATGATTATGGTCCAGGTCCCCAGACCCAGATTAAGCCTGGTGCTCTTTGCAGTGATGCCATAAAAAAACTGCCTTTGGTTCTTTAAAGAACCTTTCCTTTCCTATGTTTCTTTAGAGAAACATAGCTATAAATGAATACGAGAGTCAAGAATTTTTCAGAGCTCATAGAACCTCAAGATAATGTTCAACACTAGTTAAAAGTTTTTCCCAGAACCGTACATCCAAGCCACAAACAATTTAGGAACCTTTATTTTTGAGACCCTATTTGACTCTATAAATGTATATATGACTATGATCCAGTACCCTGGACCCAGACTAAACCTACAATCTTAAAAAAAGGTGCTCTTTGCAGTGATGCCATAGAAAAAACACTTTTGGTTCCATGGAGAACCTTTCAAAGTATGGCTCTATAAAGAAACATTGCTATAAATGAGATGTTTAAGGGCAAAGCATCTATTTAAAGTATATAGAAACTCCACATAATGTAAACACGAGTTAAAGATTTTTCCTAGAACCAAACCTTTCTAGAACCAGATTAAGTCCAAAACTAGGTGTTACAAAAGGTTCTTTGACAATATCACAGAACAGAGGTCCTCAACTGTGGACCTTTAATCCAGTTTGCAGTTCTGGATTTTGACCTTTTGATGTAACTGACCTAGACACCTGGTCTAATACACTCTTTAAATAAGATGGTTCTTTAAGGGTTCTTCAGTAAAAGGAATGGTTCTTTTTAGAACCATGAGTTCTATATAGAACCTTCTTATGCTTAAATGTTTCTTTGCATGGTGAAATTGTTCTTCAGATTGATGAAAAATGTGTTGTATGTGGTTCTATAAAGCACCCAAAAGGGTTCTGCTATTGTTACGATGTCAAACTTGTAACAATAGGGTTCTATATAGGACTTCAAAAAAGTCCTATATAGAACCCTATACAACAATTTCTCCATCAATTTGAAGAACCATTTCATCATGCAAAGAAACATTTAAGCATAAGAAGGTTCTATATAGAACTCATGGTTCTAAACAGAACATTTCTTTTACTTAAGAACCCTTAAAGAATTATCTTTTTAAGAATATACACTCTCAGCACGAAAGGTTCCAAATGGTTCCAAAAAGGTTCTATGACTTCTCACAATAGAAAAACCTATATAGAACAATTTTTAAGCTTCTTTATAGAACTGATACAGCAGTTTATCCATCACGGAGATGAACCACATTCCACCATGAAAAGAACTATTTATCCAATCAAATGGTTCTTTGAGTTATCATGGTTCTATATATAACCTTTGTATTTACTAAAGAACCCTTGAAGAACCTCCTTTTTTAAGGCTCAACGTCTTTTATCTCTAACCTAAGTCATATAATCTTTTACATCAGCCTGTGCTGAAGCAGTATTGCCTCTCCAAGTTCAGTTGATGGTGATTTAAAGCTTTTAAGCCAGTGGTCTTTACCCCTTTACTGGCCTGCAGAGTTTAACTCAGACCTAATCCACCACCTGATCCAGAATGTGGTGTGCTACATTTGGGGTGGAGGTGAAATGCACTCCTTTCAGCACCACGGACAGATCCTCAAACCCCACTCCCACCTGGTGCAGACGTGTGCACTGCAGTTATACACTAAAATTCCCAAAGTATCTACACACGCCTTCTAATTAGCGAATTCAGCTGATACAGGCGTCCAACTGCGCACACACAGGTTATATAATCTCCACAGAGGAGCAGTGATCAATAGAATGGGATGCTCTGGAGCAGCCGCACATGAGCCTACAGTCAAAGCTCCCCTGCACTGAACTGTGAAGCAGTGGAACTGTGTTCTCTGGAGTGATGGGGCTTCATCCAGCACCTTTGGGATGAGTTGGAGTGATCCAGAACTAATCATCCAACATCAGTACCTGATCTCACTAATACTATTGTGGTTGAAAGCAATCAAATCCTCACAGCAACATTCCAACATCTAGGCTGTTTGTGCATGTATATGTCCGTCTTGCTGTATTTGCATATGATGCAATTTTCCATACAGAACTAGGAAAGAAATCCTAAAATAATGTTTAGATTGATTGATTGATTGATTGATGTTCTTCCCAAAAAGACACAGTGCTTGTTGGAGGAATAACTGGTAATTTTCTTAAAAGACATCAAATACAGTAATAAAAATAGGATTAACAAAAGTGCAAGCTGTACACTACATGTTGCTCATGTGTGTCTGGCAAACACGTGTTATTATGGCGCTGAACATTCTAAGTTCATTTACAATCAGATTGTGTCTGTGTGGCTCTTAGTTTTAAATAGACTCCCTCATCATTGTGCATTTAAGAGTACACCAATTTATAGCATGTATATATATATATATATATATATATATTATAATGCATATTATGACACTCCTAATATTTATTTTTCAGGATATTTCTGAGGAGATTGGATATAAGATAATACACTTGCATAATAACACAGGAGTTTTTTTTAATCATTGTTATTCAAGTTCGAAAATTATTACAACATGATTAAAGGAAAAGAAAATAGGACTCCTAACAACCATGTAAGACCTGGTAGACCACCAAAACTGTCACCGTCATTCAAACAGCGCTTAAAGCTTTCATCTTTGAGAGAGAGGAGAAAAACAAGCTCCACTCTTCCTTCAAATCTGAAGCTTCTGTCCATCCTTCCACTGTGAGAAGACAACTCAACACTATGAGTCTGAAAGGATGTGTAGCTGGCAAGTAACCCTTACTGAGAAAAGGAAACAGACAAAAATAAGAAAATCTGCAAATCAAACAGAGAAGATGTTAGTTCTCAGAACAAAGAACTGGCCACCCCAGAGTCCAGACCTCAGCATCACTGAATGTGTTTGGGATTATTTGGATTGTGAGGAGCAGAAATTCAACCAACTTCTAAGACTCAACGGAGGTGCAGGGAAAAATATCCCTGCAGGTTTTTATGAAAAACTGATGTAAGTCTCCTGAAAAGAATGGAAGCTGTACTAAAGAGTGGACACACTAAATACGGAAAAATTAGACATGATTATTAGTTGTGGAGGCATCTGCATTTTTTTTTTTTTTGATGCTATTTTTCTGACACTGAAAACTATAAGTTCTACTTATTGGCTGGGAATATATATATATTCATACACACAAACACACACACACACACACACACACACACACACACACACACACAGATATCGCTGCTGTCGGAACAAAACCTTTTATCTCCAAAATGGTAACTTTACAGGAGACGGACAAAACACACTTTACTTTCAATGTAAGTGAATGTAACCAGACGTTTGTCTAAGTAATTTTGGGTCATTCCTTTTGGTCCATTCATCATGAAATTTACACTACACACAATGTAAAGGGCAACATGTACTTTCAAATTGTTTCAGAAACTGAAAAATGGCCAAATTAGAGATATGAGGTTTTGCTCTAACAGCAGTGATATATATGTATATATATATATACACACAGATAAATGCACATTGGGATTGAAGTATAGACAGAAACACAGGCTTCAAAGAAAAATTCCTTTGCGTTTTAGAAACAGTTGGCTGGGTGTACGATCAGTAGTCTTGCCCCCCTCGGGTCTTTCTGCGCAAGCTGAGGGGGGAAAAACACAAATATTTATTTGGTGATGTGAAGCTTCTGGCGTTGTGCTGTGGTACTGATCTGCTGCCTCTGAGCTTATGGTCACGCTTACCCTGCTAATCAGGAGCACTGGGCTGAAAAGTGTTGCTAAGCACCAGCGGGGACACAGAGAGTGGGATCCGCACGGCAAAGCACACTGCAGCATCGTTTTCTCATCACAGCACACACCGACAAACAGCGCTCGCTCTGATTGATCTTTGCAGCCCACGGCCTTCTAAATTCAACCGGACGCCTGCATGTGTCCACTTAGGGCTTGCTAAAAATACACACGTCCCAGGAGACATGAATCATTTCATGTATGCTGGAGTTGATTCACATTGCCACAAAACAATTTGAATTTCATTTGCGCTCACCCTGCGAGAGCTCCTCTTTCCAAAGCTGAGATTTTATAAAGCGGCCCTGTGTAAGTTGGGCATGAATTATTGAAGATGGGAATGAAACTGCCAGAGTTGGTGTCAGGCTAAAGAAAAAAAGAAAGGAAAAAAAGACATTCCTGCAGCTGTTGCTATTAAACCACTTTTGCATTATGCAAAGCACTAGTCAGGTAAGAGTCTAGCACTGTTCCTCCTCCGCTGAGCCTCGTGTGGAGGTGGATTTGCAATCAGTGTAATTCAGATCCCGTTTCAATAGAAAAAGGCTGTTTATCCACCATGCACAAACTGTTGTGCAATCTTGCATGCTGCGGACATGAGTAATCGCATGTGCATCGCTGCACTGAGATTACAGCGCCAGTGTTTTTTTCTCGTGTAATTCCAGCCATCCACACACAGCCATAAAAGAGACACTTCAGAGGAGGGAGCTATCATTGCTGTGCAGCAATCCATTGACCTAGATTTTCT